GTGGCCGGAGACATGTGGCGTCCGGAGCCCGGGGCTGCTCAGGTCCTGGGCAGCGAGGATGAAGGCAGTGTCAGGGCCAGGCCTCCGTGTCCGCCGTGTGCGGCTGGGAGTGCCTTGCCATTCACAGGACAGAAGCCACCAGTGGGTCTGGTCATGAAATGTTGAGTTTAAGGTGCCTTGCAGACAGCAGTGAAAAGCGGGCCAGGCCGGTGGATGTGATGCCGTGGAAGCCAGGGATGGGCCTGGCCTGCTCTGCCACTTCCCCAGATCCACACCCATGGCCTCCTGGTTTTCTCGTTCCTCCCTGAGAGACAGGGTGGACCTCCTGCCCCTGCCCTGGAGGCTCCACTTGGCCCAACGAAGCCTGCTGGGCCCCACACCCCTTGCTCCAGGTGGAAGGCTTTTGTCCCTCCCTCCACTTACTGGTGAAACCCTCACCCAAGGTAAGCGTGGTAGGAGGTGGGACCTCCTGCAGGGGCTGAGGGTGGGGCCCCTGTGATCAGGGCCGGTGCACCAAAGGCCCAGTGTGCTTCCTCCTCTCTCCCACTGGGTGGCATCACCGGCACATTCCTCTGGGACCCAGCCCTAAAGTGTGAGAAGTAGATGTCTCGTGTCTGAGCTGCCCGCCTTGGGTGACGTGGAGTAGCACAGCCAGACCCAAGGACCACCGTCCCTTCCTGCCGTGCGTGTGTGGCGTCCCCGGGGAGCTGCCCCGTGACGAGGCTCTTCAGGGACAGTCCCGGGGCACAGTTCCTTGCTGGCTTTGTGCCCTAAAACTAAGGGCTCAGCCATCCACCCCATGCCTCCCAGGCCACATGGGGTATACCTACTCCAGAGGGGGAGGCAGGACACGCGAATCCCGGTCCACAGTGATTCTGAAGTCCTGCTGGGCAAATGTGAGACGCCTGGTAAGGGCCCAGGCCTGGAAGGGATTCCGTGTGGTGCTTCTCTGTGCCCTCCTAGCTCCTGGTCCCTTGTTCTGGGTCACCCTTCCTTTTCCACAAGGCAGTGCGTGTCACAGTGAAGGAGTCTCGCTGGCTTCTTCTTGCCTGCAGAAGGCAGGGTGCAGATTTCCTCCTTTCACTTAGTGCTGCTGATCTTTCAGCCTAAACCAGAAAGATTTTTGCTGTGTAAATTCCTCAAAAATGTTGTGGGTCCTTTATGACCCATGGACAGGCACCACACTGGACAGAGCTGCGGTCACAGATGTCTGCTAGACGGCCTCTTGGGCTTGGCTTTCTCCTTCTTTGGATTATTCTCTTCTAATTTCTTGAGGGGGAGACTTTGATAACTGAATTTTGTCTTTCTTTTGTCTTATGTATGTTTACTTTTATAAAATTTCTTTCAGAATAGGGCTTTGATTTTATACATTTGATATATTTTCATTTTCATTTATTTCAAACTGGTTCTTATTTTTATCATTATTCTTTCTTTCTTTCTTTCTTTTTTTTTTTTTTTGGTACTGGGGATTGAACGCGGGATTGTGCTTGCGAGGCAGGCCGCGGAACCACTGAGCTAAATCCCCGGCCCCTATTATTTCTTTTTTAATCATGGGTTATTTAAAAAAGTATTTGAAATTTAAGTTTCCACACAATTGTAGCTTAATTCCACTGTAGTCAGAAAGCAGAGAACATAATCTGTAAGTTTTCAATTCTTTAAAATGGTTGAAATTTCAACCTAAAATTAGCTATATACTTATTGGTGTTTTTGTGTGCTTATTCTCTCCATTTTGGAGATATTTGTTAAAATGTCTGTTATGGTTTGTGTCCAGATGTGCCCCTAAAGCCTTTGGGGAAGCTTTTCAGAGGTGGCTGGATCTAGAGTGTATGATGCTGGGATTGATTCAAGGTAGAATGTTAAGATTAAGGGCACTGGACTTTGGTGTGTGAGTGCTGCCTGCCCTAAGGGCAGGTAGCCTGGGTAAGATATAAGGGACAGAAAGAGCTATGGTCTTGTCTCTTGTCACTTGTAGCTTGGTGCCTTCTGCCTTTCGTCTTCTGCCCACCATGAACTGTTTCTCCCCTGTGATGCTGCCATGCCATGCTCCCTTGCCTTGGAGCCAGCTGGTTATGGATTGAAACCTCTACAAACTGTGAGCCAAAATAAATTTCCTCCTTTAACTTGGGTGTCAGGAATTTTGTCTCGGCAATGAGAAAAGTAACTAAGACAATATCCCATTTTGATTGTGGATCTACCTATTTTTGCTTTTATTTGTATATTTTTAAAACATGTTTTAAGCTATATTACAGATACTCCTCATCTTATGATTTCACTGTGTCCCACTAGGCCCATGGAAGGTGAAAATATCCTAAGTCCAAAATATGTTTAATTCACCTAATGCACAGAACATTACCACTGGCCTTGCTTAAATAGGCTCAGGATACTTATACCACCCTACAGTTGGGGGAAATTATCAAACACAAAGCCTGTTTTAGAAGAAAGTGTTGACTATCTCATGTAATTAATGTTTTGTACAGCATTGGTTTATCAACCTTGTGATCATATGACTGACTGGCTGAGGGCTGTGGCTTGTTGACATTGCCTGTCATGGCAGGAGTATGTTGTACCTTACTTGCTAGTCCAGGAAAAGATCAACATTCAAAATCAAAGTACGGTTTCCAATAAATGCATATTATGTTCACATTATTTTAAAGGTAAAAAACCCTTAAATTGAACCCTAAGTTATGGCTGTCTGAATGAGACTCATGTACATCTGGAGTCATCATGTCTTTCTGGTGTAATGACCCTTTTACTGTCACAAATTATCCCCCCCCCTTTTTTAGAAGTAATAGTTTGTTTTTAACATTTTAACATTTTTATCGCTGCACGTTTGCAGTACATAATGGTTACGTTTTTGTGTGGGGGTTGGTACATGCACATAACACATCTTAATTCTTTTTCCACCATCTTCCTCTCTCTTTTTTCCAGATCTTGGTCTCCTTTGCTTTTGCAAAAGATCTATGTTTCTTTTTATGTCTATCGGTGCTTTTTACTTTTGAGTTTACTTTGATATTATAGCTTCACTGGCTTCCCATTAGTTAGCATTTGCATGGTATTTTATTTTTATTTTTATTTTTTTGGTACGGGGGATCAAACTCAGGTCCTTGCGCTTGTGCAGCAGGCGGCGAAACCATTGAGCTAAATCCCCGGCTGTTTTTTTTTTTTTTTTTTTGGTACTGGGGATTGAACTCACTACCTTGTGCTTGCGAGGCAGGCGCCGGAACAACTGAGCTAAATCCCCGGCCCCGGTATTTTAGTTTTTAATCTTAAACTCTGTTTCCTTATAAAGTGTATTTCTTTTTTTATTTGGTAGCAGGGATTGAACTTGGGTCCTTGCACTTGCGCAGCAGGCGGCAAAACCACTGAGCTAAATCCCCGGCCCCTAAAGTGTATTTCTTATAAGTACCACAAAATTGAATTTTGTATTTTTATCTTGAGAGTTTGTCTTTTAACTAATATTTTAATACATTTACATTTAGTGTAATTTCTGATATATTTGGGCTTCAATCTACCCACTACCTTCTCTTTTCTTTGTTCACATGTTAAATGTTTCTTGTCCCAAATCTCTCTTAAACTGATCTATGTTTTCCTTTGCATTTTTTCTTTATGGTGTACTGTATGTTTTCTTTCTGTGCTAACTTCTTATACTCTAATTCTCTCCTTAGCTATGTCTAATCTGCTTTGAAAGTAATGTATTTTCTATGTATTTATTTAGAATAAGTTCTCCCTTGTTTTTCAATAAAGAATAACATATACAGTAAAGTACAAAAATCCTAAGTGTTTTCTAGCCTGGTAAATTGTGATACACCTATGCATCTGTATCTCTGTATATCTCCATCCAAATAATTGTCACCCAGATGAAGATGTTTTAAGTTCTTAGCACTCCAAAGTATCCCTCATGTCTCTTGCACTTGACATTTCCTTCACAGATAACCAGTTAAAAAAAATCTCAGGCTAGGGATTTAGCTCAGTGGTTCCTGCTCCTACCTCGCAAGCACAAGGTCCCGAGTTCGATCCCCGGTACCAAAAAAAAAAATCTATCACCATAGATTAGTTTTGTCTGTACTTTTGAATTTTCTATAAGTAGATCCCATTGTGTGTGTTTTTTGTGTCTGAGTCAGTTTACTCAATACTAAGATCCATTCGTGCTGTTCTCTACAGCAGTAGTTCTTTTTTATTGCTGTATGACCCTTTATGTGATTCTATCACATTTTACTTACTAATTCTACTGTTGCTCACATCTGAATAATTTCTGCAGTCGTATTCTCCTGTGACTTTGTTCTCTTGGTGCTGTGTCCATTCTGTCTGACCACTTTCAGTAGAGTGCTGGGCATTGTGCTCATAATTGCTACATCTCTGAGTGACATTATCTTCTTCTAGAGAAAGTTTATGTTTTCTTATGCAGCAGTGAATCAGGGAAGATCATTTAAACCAAGCAGCGCATGAGAGTTTGCTAGGTGGCTTCTGTTTTCCCAAGGCTGTGTCTTTTCTGGGTCCTCCTTGTGCGCACCTGATGCTCCGTGTTGCAGCCTGAACTCCATTTCTCCACAGCGGATGAGAGTGCCCAAAGCACAGGTTGGGTGTTCGCACCCTTCACTTTTGCTTTCTCCAGGCTTTGAGCTGCCAGGCTACTGTTTCAGATCCGCAATCAGCTTGAGGGGAGAGGTGACACAGAGTCGGGCTCAGTTTTGTGCATTTCTCTTGTCCCTTAAGGTTTCTGGCTCTTGGCTGGCTCGATAGCCTTCAGCCCCACTTGTTCCTTTGCCCCGAGATTGGCGAACTTCTCTCCTTCACAGCGGCCGATTTCTGCTTGGCTTCTCATTCTCTCAAGTCTGCTGCTTAGAGACCTTCAATGCCTGCAGGGTGGGAACAGCACCCAGTACTACTGTCAGGTTCACCCCAGCACGTTGCCTTCTCCTTGGGATCTTTGTGCTTTGCTCAGTGTTTCTTTTTTTGGGGCAGGGAGTTTGGCCTGATACAACCTACTCTGTCATACCAGGCTGACGTTATAATTCCAGACTTGTTTCAGTACAGGTTTGCAGTTCACAGAGCATCATCAGATGATCTCAGCACCGTAGCCTGGGAGATACTGAGGAGAGTCACTGTCCCGTGTTATGGATAAGGACACGGAGGTGCAGAGGGCTCAAGTGGTGCGCAGAGTTTGTGCAGCTACTGGGTGGCAGGCCATCTTCTCAACCCTCCCAGCACCAAATCCCCTCGTACTGTTCCTGGCACCACTGAACGGAATCCCAACTGCTCGGGGAGCTAAATGGCAGTGACTGAGGAAGAGGACCCTGGTGGGTGTGGCGGAGTCACTGAGCTAACGGGAAGCCACTCAATGGAGCAGGAGTGAGGTTCTGTGTAAACAAATGCCACGGCATGCAGTCACTTCCGCTCTAAGGGGCTAGGAAATCCCAGCAGGAGACAGCAGGTAGCCCTGTGCCGCCTGCCGCAGCCTGGTCCGTCTCCACCCCCTTGGAGCAGAGGTGTGGAGAAGCAGAGCCGCCGCACGGGCCTTGCTGAGCAGAGGCCCAGGGGCTGCGGCCTTCTTGGTGCCCCTTCAGGCGCAGATTCTAGGCGGGGTCCTGACCCCCAGTGCAGGTGAACTTGGAGACAGCTCTCCAGGGGTTGTGAGGCCTTGGGAGCGGGGCCCTGTTCCGCCAGGGCAGTGAGACGGGCAGGGAAGACACCAGACTGCTTTCCGTGTGCAGGGAGGAAGGCCCTGGTAGGACACAGCAGGAAGGCGGCCCTCAGCTGAGCCCAGCCCACGGTCCCGGAACTGTGGAGAAGCTCATGCTGTCAGTCAGCGGGGCTTCGTTTTGGCCGCAGAGCTCACCCGGATGCTTCCCACCCAGTGCCGACCACATCTGGAAGACTGGAGTGCTTGCTGCCACAGCCTGCGGGAAACCACGTGGTTCCACTTCCTCAACATGCTCATCTTATGTACCACGTCCTCCCTCGCAGTCTCCTCAAGGGAGCAGAACAGAGGAGAATTTGGGCTGTTGTGCCTGCACCACACCCCTCCACAGCACACCACATGTGCCACACAAAAAGCATGGCACACTGCACACCACACACACTCCACGCACGCCGTACACCCGACACACCCTACAACCAAGCACGCACTCAGCGTGCACCACCCACTCCACGCATCACAGACGCACACCATGCACCACATACTCTGCGTGTGCCACATACCACAGACACACTCCATACACAGCTACAGCCACACCTCACAGCACACTCCACGGATATTCCGGCCCCACACACATGTCCCCCGCTACATGCATCACACACACACACCACAGGACACCCGCCCACACGCACCCTGCACAGACACATGCTGTCACGGCTTGTTTCTAGATGTGCCCCAAAGCCCCAAAGGTGGGCTTTGGGAGTGAGTGGACCATGAGTGTGTGGCCCTGGGCCCTGGAGGTGAGGCGTTGGGAGTGGCTGAATGGATGGACTGAAGAGGGGAGCCCCACCCGAGGGTGGGCGGCACCACAGAGGACGGTAGGGAAGAGGGAGGGCTCACTGCTTCCTGCTGCCATGCCGTAGACTGGCTGCCCTCTGCGAAGCTGCCCTGCCTTGGAAGCACCTGACCTAGGACTGAAACCTCAGTACACTGTGAGCTAAGTAACCTTTTCCTCCTTTAACATGTGGCTGCTGGGTACAGGTCTGGGTCCCAGAAGCTGGAAATAACTAAGACACGGCCACGTGTACTGCACTATTCACACGCACACCACACACCATAAACACAGCACACACACAACCCGGCGATTGATTGCACACCACCTTACACAGCATGTATTCCACACATCACACCTCCCCCCCCACAGCACACGTACACAGCACGCCCACAGCCCACACATGGAGGGTACCCTCCACACCGTGTACCACACACATCCTTCAGAGCCACCCGGAGCTCAGCACACGCCTCACACTCCCCACGGCACAGGCACGCCTGGCCCATGCGTGCATTTCCCTCACTGTGCTTGGTGAGTTTGAGAACACAGCCCCGCTGAGAACCTGCTTCTGTTGTTTGAGTCCCAGCACAGGGTCTGGTGGCTCAGGGAGGCTGGCGCAGTCCCTCCGCTAGCCCCGCATTAGGCTTCTGGCAGCAATGGCGCCTTCTGCCCTCCCTCTCAGCCCGGCAGATGGGATGGGCTGAGGTGCGGCTGTGCTGGCTCTGGTGGGTTGCAGATCAAAGTTGCTGCCCATCAGAGAGAAAGAAGAGGGAGACTTGGACTGAGACAGAGAGAAGATGGGCGTGGCAGAGGTGGGCAGGAGGCGCCCAGGAGCTGGAGAGGCCTGGACCTGACTCTCTTGGGGCCTCTGGTCGGAACCAACCTGGCCTGCACCTGAGTGAGGACCTGAGGCCCCAGAACTGTGAGACCAGAGGGAATCCATGTCTGCTGTTTGAAGCCACCCAGCCTGGTGCTTGGTTGAGGCCACTGCAGGAAGCCTCTTGCACAGCGCTGCCCTCCGGCTGAGTGGAGGGGACCCAGCTGTGCTGGCCACCTGGCCCTTCAGCCTGGGGATGGGGGGGAAGGCGTGCAAGTCCCCCTGGGTTGCTTCGAGGGCCCTGGCTCCCTTAGTGACATCAGCCCTGGGCCTGGGGCTTGCCTGGACTGGGGTGACTTTTGCGTGCTAGGATTTTCCAGCAGAACCAGAAGGTGGGGCCGGGAGTGGGACAGATGGCTGCCTGGACAGAGGCCCTGTCTCTGGTTCAAGGTTATCGACATCATCCTGGCCAGTCCACATCAGCTGTCCTCAGGCAGGGCTCGCCGGGCTCCCCCACACCCGGATCTGGCCAGAGGTTGCTCCTCATTAGCCTCACCTTTGGCCTGCTCTGCCGGGCAGCAGGCTCGGTCCACATTCTTAGAGTTTGGAAGGACTCAGAAGGGGGCGAGGTTGCCTCCTCCAGCCCCAGAGTGACTGCGCTCCCATGTCAGCTCCTCAGCCTCCACCCGGGACCTGGGCTGCTGGTCCTCCTGGGGTCCGGGTTGCTCATGCCCCCAGAGAATGCTGATTTCCCCTGAGTGACCCCCCCCTCCCCCCAGGGTAGTCCCCAGAGCAGCCATCAGAACTGCTCTGGTTTCTCAAAAAGGGGAAACGCACCACTGGAGGAGCGTTCACAGAGGCCTTGGAAGTGGGGAATTCTGGGGCGTGGGAGCCCCAAGATGCTGTCCACTGTGGTCTGAGGGCCAGCCCGGGGTGTGGATGAGCAGCAGCTGCATGAGTGATGGGCGCACAGGGGAAGGAGTCAAGGCCCTGACCACACTGCTTTGGATGATCAGGACCGGCTGCCTGCTGGGCATCAGGAAGTGGCCCCCCCTCCACCGCCCCTCGCTTCCTTAGCTTGTTTTAAGTTTTCTAAATGTCTGAAATCCCTCCACGTACACAGGGAGATCTGTGGGGCAAAAAAGAAGTGATTGCAGCCTGATACAATGGTGAACACCTTCAATGCCAGCACCCAGGGAGGCTGAGGCAGGCAGATCTCAAGTCTGAGCCCAGCCCACGCAGCTTAAGAGACTAAGACTCTGTCTCAAAGGAGATGGAGGGAGGGTGAGGTAAAGGAGGGAAGGGAACATAAAAAGAATTACAATGTGTCAGGTGCATGGACCACCTCCCCATGATGAATATAATCAATATGTGCTGCAAACATGCTCTAAAAAATAAAAAAATTTAAAAAAGGGACTGGGGCTGCAGCTCAGTGCAAAGACCCTGGATTCAACCCCCAGACCATAAAAAACAAACCAACAACAATACCAAAAAAAAAAAAAATCCAAAAAGGCCATGATTGCAGTGTGGCCAGTGGCCAGGACAGGCTGGCTGGGCACCCGAGCCCCTGGACAGCCAGAAACAGCTTTTCAGAGGTGCGGGGGTCTAGGGTGTGCGAATGTGGTTTAGGGCTGTAATAACTGCATTAGTCCACTGATTGGCTTAGCACCGTTCTGGGAGTCGGTAATGGGAAGCCCCCTCCTGGGTGTGGGTGGCACCACCCAAAAGGACGGTAGCCTGGATGGGATAAAAAGTGAAAGGGGGTCTCCATGCTGCTGCTTCACTGCCTCCTGCCTGCTGTGCCATGGCCTGTTTCTCCTCTGCGATGCCGCTCTGCCTTGCGTTCCTGTTGGGCCCTGTCCTGCTGGAGGTGGGTCCTGGCCACTCCCTACTGCTCTGGGCAGTGTGGCAGAGCAGGAGGGCTGGTCAGGAGTGGGCTCTGGAGGTGGGGGCCCAGCTGGGAACCAGCAGCTCAGGGACGAGAGTCGCCCCTTACAGGGGCCGTGCTAGCAAATGTTGGAGTGTTTGTTTTGCCTGTTCAGATGTGGTAATCACGTCAGATATTGCTGGCTTTGTACCAATGATGAGGAACAGCCCTACCATAAATTCCATAGTCCTGGGAGTGTCAGGGTCTGAATTCAAGGGCTTGTCCTACATATTCTGGGAGCCACCTCTAGGTATGTGTGGCAAGCCCCACCTGGAGGCCAAGGTTCCCCTTTCAATGCTGTGACCTCTGTGACCTTTGAGAGGTCCGAGTCCGGTCTGAGCATCACAGCCTGAGGTTCGGTCACCTGCCTGGGCCCCACCCCTGGGCCATGACTGTTCTAGCATTGGCCAGGGCTGGTCTTGCCCTGCGTCCTGTGGGATGAGGGTCCTGCGGTGCCATCCCCAGGGTCTGATTTGCTGTCACTGCACAAGTTGGGGCCTTGGTCTGGCGGTGCAGGACACCCCAACTCGGGCCCTCTGCAGGCCCCTGGCCGGCTCACCTGGGGAGGGAGGCTTCGGCTGGGCTGGGAGGGGCCATCCATCTTCCAGCGGCCTGGACATGCTGAATGGGCCATTTGTGTTTTATGAACAGCTCAGTATCGCAGGAATGTGGCCCAGCCTGTGGCGGATGACAAGGAGCTGGAGCTGGGAAATCGCAATAAAACACCCGTCCCGGGAAGCAGGCCCATGAATCACGGGCAAAGGTGATAATAACTCTTTTGGCAAATGCATGTTCTCTGCCCCAAGCCAAATATGTGCAGCCACACAATGGGCCCTGTGACTACCATCACCGGCTGCAAGCGATGCTCACGTCAGCCATGGGTTCCATTGCTCCCACCGCCCGGCCTCGGTTGGGAGAGTCCCAGTCAGAGCAGAGCAAGGCTAAAAAATGTCTTCATATCAAGGGTGCACAGGGAGCTGCCGCTTTTGTTTTGGTCTAAGAAACTGAAAACATGCTGCAGAGCACTGTGTGCGGCCAGGCAGGCCGAGGACACTGAAAGCATGCCCAGTCACTTTCTGGGTCTCGCACATGGCCATGGTGTGACTTTGATCTCTTCCCACAGGTGAGCCGTGGGCTGTGAGGGTCACCACAGAGCACAGCAGAGAGGACGGGTGTGTTAAGGAAAAGACACTGGTCCTTCAGGGCATGGTAGGTCTCCTGGGGACCTACCCAGAGGGGCAAAGCAGACCTGGGAAGAGTGTGCTACTCGTGTGTTTATCTCAGAATCTCTCTGATGTGTGATGTGCACAGCCTGAGTCTGGGCTTTGGAAGAGAAATGATCGTGGGTTAAGTGAAGCTTGTGCTTCCCAGGGTGTGTGCGTGTACTCACGTGTGCACATGTATGTGTGTTGCATGTGTGTGTGCACTGGTGGAAGCGGAGCGGTGGTGAGCAGAGCCCCACGGTGACAGCTGGCCCCAGCCCGGTCTGCAGGTGCAGCACCAGCTTCTCCCTGTTGCCTGTTACCCGTTTCCTAAGTGAGGAGACTGAGCCCTTAAGAGGGGAGATGACCACTTGCTGGATGAAGAGCCTGGACGCAGCCACGCATGGGGTCCTCACTGTTCTGTCACACACCACTCCTCGTGCCCCAGTTCCTTCCCCTGCGGGCCGCAGGAGGTGACACAGTGCTGAGGGGTAGGGGAGGAGCAGTGAGGGAGGTCTGGGGACCCGTCCTTTCTCGCCTCGGGGGGCACCGTGCCTGGGCACGGCAGGGATGTGCCCTGATCGCTCTTCTCACGCTGAGTGCTGTCCTCCCTGCTGCTTCATGGCACACACAGGTGGCCTGGTTACCTGGTGACAGTGGAAGCACCGGCCTAGCAGAGGGGCGAGCCTGGCACAGCCTCAGGAGCTGAGTGTGTGTGTCTCATGCACATTCTATCTTTCCACACGTGTATGCGTGGGACTCACTTTGCCGGGTAGCTCCCGGAGCGCCTGTCCCCTGCAGAAAATGTAGGACTCAGAAAACACAAACAAGGGAGTACAAACCGGGTCACCACATCCTGAGAGGCGCCGTGAATAGTCTGTGCAGTTTCAATTTCAGCTTCTCCAGAGGACATAGGTTTCCCTGAAGATTACTCCACTTGGCCCCTCTGTTTCTACGGTTGAAGGAGGGGTGAGTTCGGGTCTGAGTTCCTCCCTCTGTCTGTTACCCCCTTGTCCTCCATGGGGGCGAAGACTACTCGGCCGAGGATGGCATGTGGGGACCTGTGGGCTGTGGTGTGGGTGACAGAGGGGCTGCCTGGTGGGTTCGCATCTTGAAAGACTCCAGAAGGAGCTGTCCCCAGGGAGGCCAGCGGGTGCTGGGCCCTGTGGGGGTCACAGAGCTGCTTGGAAGAACACGGCTTGGGAAGACCTCACGGCCACCTCGCAGGAGAGGGACACAAATGGCTGCGAAACAAACGAAGGGGACATAGATGGGAAACATCTGTGTTCAGGGGCGCCGGGCCGGGCCCTGCTACAGGAAAGCCTCGTGCGCCTTCCTGCCAGTTCATTCAAACTCAGTGTCATGATGAAATGAAGCACATCAGCTGAAGGCTACGAAACTTGATGGGTAAAGAGTAGGATTTGAAAAATATGTATGAGCCCGGGTGACCTGGCGTGGGGCCTGCGGGCTGGGGGTCAGCAGAGGCATCTGTGCGCCGACCACCGCTGCAAGGCCGAATTTCCACCCGGGGTGGCCGTGCATCTGATCCAGTGCGGCAAAGGGGGGCTCCGTGGCGCCGGGGAGCAGGAGGGCTGCCGGGCTCCAACCTGCAGATGTGAGCCCCCAAAGCTGGCTGTCGTCAGGTGGACCACAGGGGGAGCCCTGCGAAGTGGGAAGCGGGGCGGCCGGGATCTGGAGGGAAGGTGTGGAAATCTGACACAAATGCAAATGTTTCACCTTCTAAATCACCTTGGTCTTTGCAGTTGAAATTCCCATGAACTTCTCACCTTCTGCCTCTGGTGCGGGCAGCCTGGCTGCTCTCACTCTCGAAGTCACAGGTCGTAACTCTTCCTGGGCTGGGGCGGTCTAGGCTGAGCCCCGAGTGTGTGGCGGGGTCACTGTGAAAATCTCGGGGCTCCTGGGCTCCCCCTCTCCCTCCCCGGGTGGACCAAGGCCCAGGACACCTCGGGCGAGACTGGATGACCACCGTCAGCCTGAGTGACTTCGGAGAGGATGCAGTTGCTCGCCTCCCGCTCGTGCCAGTGCATCCAGGCCTCGTGGCTCGTGGCGTGTTTGCCAGTTCACCCCAATGCCTGGACACCTGGTGGGCTCAGGCCCTGGGGCGCAGACCCTACTGTGAGCTCCGAGCAACCACTGGGGACTTCAGTGCCCTGGGGCCGGGGGACAGAGCCGTCCCAGCCCAAACTCCCTGCCCAGCCTCGCTGGCTTCTGTTTTCAGTCCCTTCTTCCCATCTCATAGGTGCTGTGAGAAGGCTGCTTCTCCGGGGTTGTGTTAGTGTATTGTGGCAGTTGTCACAAAACACCCCAAGCCCAGTGTCTTCCGACGACACACATTTGTCCTCTTCCAGTTCTGGGGTCGGAGAGTGCAGGGCCTGGAGGGGAGAGCACTCTGCTGGGCCATTCCAGCTTCTGGAAGGGCTCAGCCCTTGGCGTATGGCTGCTTCCTGGCATCACTCTGTCCTGAAGTTCATGCTACCGATGGGACAGGCTCGGCGATGGCCCATGAAAGTCTCATTCTAATCTCCGGAACCTGTGGCACAAGGGCATCTCAGCCCACACCAAAATGCCACAACCGGTGGCTCACACACAGTGGACGTTCCCGCTCATGGTGCTGGGGGTGGGGTCCAGTGTCATGGCGGCTCTGGTCTCTGGTGAGGGCTCACTGCTAGTCCCCAGACTGCGCTTCTCCTGGGTCCTCTCAGGGCTGAAGGGGTGAGGTGGCCCAGGGTCTCTGTTAGGGGGCACAGATCCCACTTGTGAGTGTCATGGCCAGGTGGCCTGGTCACCCCATGCCTCCCACACCATCACATTGGGGTTAGGGTTCACTGCCTGAGTGTTGGGCCTCTGCAGATCCATGGGGTAAGGACCCGGGGGCGGGGACACTGACCTGGGCGCAGATGGCTTCCAGGAGCTGCTGAAGCGAGGAGATGGGTTTCCCCAGAGCCTCTGAGCGGTGCGACCCCTTGGCCCTGGCCTGGGGACACTGATGTGGGATGTCTGTGTCCCAGGTGGTCAGGCACAGAAATGATCTAAGCCAGGAGATCTTTGTGACAGCAGCCAAGGTGGCCTTGCCCTTCTGCCTGGGAGGAGTCCACAGGAGACCGTGAGGGCGGGGCTGCGTGACCCAGCCTGCACTCAGCACACATACTTCCCAGGGAGTGTGGGTGAGGAGGAGTCGGGTGTGACTAGGGGCCTTCTGCACCTCCTGCCTGGGCATCCAATAGCAAAGGCCAAAATTCCCGGGCTTCATTTTGGGATTAGCTTGATACTCACTTAGGTTTTTAAATACTTTGTTTCTCCAAAAATGTACTCTTTTGGAATCAGTGACACGTGCTGAGAAGGTAAACATTCAAATAGGGAAAACAGCCTTGGCCAGGGCTGCTGGAGGCAGACACTTCCTCTCTCGGTCAGCTGTCCCCGAGCGACACGTTTATGCTCCCTTTGGTCACCTCACCTTGACTGCTGCCGTGGTTGGGGTGGGGTTTGTGCCTCAGAGGTTTGTGTGCCGGAAGCCTGGGTGCAATATTAAGAGGTGCTGGGGCCTCAGAGTGGGGTCAGGGCAGAGCACCTAGGTCTTGGGGCGCTGCCTTTGCCAAGGACCCCATCAGTGCCCACGAGCGTGGTTAGTCGGCAGGGGAGGGGGGCCGGCCGCTCCGCCCTGGCCCCTCTCATGGACTCTTCTGTACTGTGAGAGAGGGAATCTGGGTTGTTTTAAGCCACTAAACCTTCGAGGACCTGTCTCAGCCGCCACGGGCAGGGGAGGGGCCCAAGGAGCTGCCGCAGGGATGACGTGGGGTGGCTGTGGTGTGGCATGCACAGGTGGATGTGCCTGTGAGCGTGTGGATGTGTGCACAAGTGTGCCGTTGTGTGTGTGCTCTGGGATGCTGGGCGGTTTGCAGGAGGGGCAGAGCTTCTGTGGCTTCAGCTGCAGCTGGGAAGTCAGGGACAAGGCTGGACCGTGGCCCACTTGAGTGTCCCACAGCTGTGGTGGCCTGAGCCACCCTTCATCCCTGCCCATGGCCATGGGATCCCAGGAAGTCACACAGAGCCCCATCTGGCCTTGTTCTGCCATCTGCAGCAGCTCCAGGTCCACACCTAGGTGGGCTCAGGGTGGGCTTAGTGGTGCTGGGCTCGGAGCAGGGAGGTGAGGCCGGGAGGTGCTTCACAGGCCCCTTTTCTATCACATCGGACAAGGACTCCCTGTCCCATCCCCAGCAGGGAACCCTTAATGCTCGAGGCCTCTCAGGTCTCCACCCCACAGGGAAGGAAGTAGAGGAAGCACAGCCCTGCCCTGTGGGGGCCGCCTTATGCCTGGGGTGTGAGTCCCACCGCACTGCTCAGCTGCGGGAGATGGCCCTTGGCTGCCTCTCCCCTCAACGCCCTCTTCACAGACCCGGGCAGCCCGAGGGGCAGGACTGCTGGAACAGAAGAGGGTACCAGGGACAAGCAGAGCAGCTAGCTCCGTGCACAGTAGGTGCCGTCAGAGAATGTCTGAAATGCTCAAACTAAACTAAATTAGAATTAAAATTGATGGCTAGAGATTTCAATTACATTCAAATTAAGTTAAATTTAAAAATTAAAATTAGATTACAAGAACCAGAAAACAGGCTCTCACCAGGTACTGCTGGGGCCTTGATCTTGGTCTTCCCAGAACTGTGAGGAGTGTTTGTAAGTGGCCCGGTTTATGGTTCCTTGTTCATCCTGAATAGACCAAGACCTACTCACTTAAGCAAAGCAGGTGTTTTCATATGTTCACAGTTGGAGGCGCATCGCCACCTTAAAGGGCTTGCTCAGAGGGGTTGGGGGGCGGCCACTCTGTCAGAAGCCGACTACCCTGAAGCCACAGTGATGTTTGGAGGCCCAGGCTGGCCACGGGGGGTGACTCAGAGAAGAGGCCTGCTGTCCGCGGGGCGGGACAGGAGAAAGTGCCAGAGAGCAATGAGTTTCCAGCACAGAGGAACTGAGAGAGTGAATCTGTCCAGCTCGCCTTCCTTGTTATGTTAATTATCAATGAACCTGTGTAAAGTGGAAGCCATACTATCCATTCAGTCAGATTGAGTGAGCGATGGATACAGTCCTTAAGAAAGGTACCTGGATGGACCACGTTTTCTTTCATTTACTCGAGAACGCGAGACGGTTCCTGCCGTGTCATGGTCCTTTCTTCTGTAAGTGTTTGAAGTGCTCCTTTCATCTGCTTTTTTACTTGCTGTGTGTTGATCCGGGGCTTTGTGCAGCCTCGGGGGCTGGGCTACTTCCTTTTGCCCGTCATGGGGTGACAGCGGCTTCATGTGGGGTTTTCGCGGATCCCAAGTCAGGCAGAGCAGAAATCCCTGTCTCGCGCGCCCGGCCCTGTGGCGACGTCCTCCCCCTGAGCATTTGACGCGAGCCAGGGGGCAGAGGTTCCCAATTTCAGCACCCTTTTCCTTTCAGACATTTAGGGTGGTGTTGGAGAGGGACAGGCGGCATTTGGGGAAAGGCGGTCATTAGGCTGCTTTGCTTTCTTTCCTTGGTTCTTGGGTCCTGGCCCTGGCTGAGGGTGGTGAGTGGGGGAGCCGCTTGGTTCCCTCGGGCAGCACACCTGCCTGCCTGCCTGCCTGCCTCCTGTCTGTCACAGGATGGCGGTTCTGTCCATCTGTCGGCAGGAGCCGGGAC